TGCTTTTTTTTGCTCTCCATTTGCTTGGTAAATGTTCCTCCATCCCTTTATTTTGAGCCTTTGTGTATCCTTGCATGTGAGATGGGTTTCCTGGATGCAGCACAGTGATGGGTTTTGGCTTTTTATCCAATTTGCCAGTCTGTGTCTTTTGATTGGCGCATTTTGGCCATTTACATTTAGGGTTAATATTGTTATGTGTGAATTTGATCCTGCCATTTTGATGCTAGCTGGCTGTTTTGCCCATTAGTTGATGCAGATTCTTCATTTTGTTCTTTACCATTTGGTATGTTTTTGGAGTGGCTGGTACTGGTTGTTCCTTTCTATGTGTAGTGCCTCTTTCAGGAGCTCTTGTAAAGCAGGCCTGGTGGTGACAAAATCTCTGAGTACTTGCTTGTTCGCAAAGGATTTTATTTTTCCTTCAGTTATGAAGCTCATTTTGGCTGATATAAAATTCTGGGTTGAAAGTTCTTTTTTTTAAGGATGTTGAATATTGGCCCCCACTCTCTTCTGGCTTGTAGAATTTCTGCTGAGAGATCTGCTGTGAGTCTGATGGGCTTCCCTTTGTGGGTAACCTGACCTTTCTCTCTGGCTGCCCTTAGCATTTTCTCCTTCACTTCAACCCTGTTGAATCTGACGATTATGTGCCTTGGGGTTGCTCTTCTTGAGGAGTATCTTTGTGGTGTTCTCTGTATTTCCTGGACATGAATATTGGCCTGCCTTTCTAGGTTGGGGAAGTTTTCCTGGATAATGTCCTGAAGAGTATTTTCCAGCTTGGATTCATTCTCTTTGTCACATTCAGGTACACCTATCAAATGTAGATTAGGTCTCTTCACATAGTCCCACATTTCTTGGAGACTTTGTTCATTCCTTTTTCTGCTTTTTTCTCTGATCTTGCCTTCTCGTTTTTTATTTCATTGAGTTGGTCTTTGACCTCTGATATCCTTTCTTCTTCTTGGTCAGTTCGGCTGTTGAAACTTGTGCATGCTTTGCGAAGTTCTTGTGTTGTGTTATTCAGCTCCATCAATTCACTCATATTCCTCTCTATGTTGTCCATTCTTGTTATCAGATCTTTTTTCAAGGTCCTTAGTTTCTTTGCATTGAGTTAGAACATGTTCTTTTAGCTCACAGAAGTTTCTCATTACCCACCTTCTGAATTCTGATTCTGTCATTTCATCACACTCATTCTCCATCCAGCTTTGTTCCCTTGCTGGTGAGGAGTTGTGATCCCTTGTAGAAAGAGAGGTGTTCTGGTTTTGGGTGTTTTCCTCCTTTTTGTGCTGGTTTCTTCCCATCTTTGTGGATTTATCCACCTGTCATCTGTGTAATTGCTGATTTTCAGATTGGGTCTCTGAGTGGATGTCGAGGTTGTTGATGATTAAGTTATTTCTGTTTCTTAGTTTTCCTTCTAACAGTCTGGCCCTTCTGCTGTAGGACTGCTGAGGTCCATTCCAGGCCCTGCTTGCCTGGGGATTACCTCCAGCAGCTGCAGAACAGTAAGGGTTGCTACCAGTTTCTTCTTCTGCTGTCTTTGTCCCAGAATGATGCCTGCCAAATGTCAGTCTGATCAGTCTTTTGTGAGGTGACTCTTTGGATATGTGGGGGTCAGGGAGCTGCTTGAGGAGACAGTCTGTTCTTTATAGGAGCTCAAGTGTTAAGCTGTGAGCTCCATTGTTCTTTCAGAGCTGCTAGGCAGGTACGTTTAAGTCTGCTGCAGCAGAACTCATAAACCGCCTTTTTTTTCCCCAGATGCTCTGTCCCGGGGAGTTAGGGCTTTGTTTATGAGTGTCGGTTGTGCTGCTGCATTTTTTTGTTTTTTTTTTCAGGGCTGCCCTGCCCAGCAAGGAGGCAGCCTAGTCACTCACTGTCTGCCTTCAGAGGCTTTGCTGAGCGCCACCCTGCTGCTGTTGAGCTTCCCTGTAGTCCTGTTTATATGGGTGTGGTTAGAACTGCCTCAGCAATGGTGGCCCGCCTCTGTAATGGCGGACTCTTTCTGTTATGGCGGGTTGCCTCGGCAACGGCAAGCTGCCTCAGCAATGGTGGACTTCCTCCATAGGGGTGGAGTGCCTCAGTAATGGCGGATGCTCCTCCCTCACCGAGCTGCACCGTCCTGGGTTCAGCTGTGCTTGCCGTGAAACTCTCAACCCCGAGCGTTTCCAATTGCTGTTTTTTTGTTTGTTTTTGTGGGGGTGGGACCTGCCAAGCCTGATCACCTGGCTCCCTGCCTCAGAGCCTTTTTTTTTTTTTTTTAAGTTGAACGGTTGACTCTCTCCTAGGTGTTCCAGTCGCCTGCTGAAAGGGCACCAGGATCTGTGTGATTTCCCATGTGGTAACCCACTGCACTGGCTGAAACAATGGCACTGCCTGGGAATCTTCTGGCCAGCTTAAAAGGGCAACCAGACCAGTGTATTTTGTATGGAGAGCCACCGCGCCCCGGCGTCGACTAAATAGCCGCACTGGATAAAACAGCTGTGCTGGCCAAAACAGCTGCACTGGCAACCCTTAGGGCTCCTCCACCTAGGAATCTCGTGGTCGGTGGGCAATAAAGATCGGTCTGGAAATGTGGCGTCCACTCACCCTCTACGCTTTCACTGGGAGCTGCAATCCTGAGCTGCTCCTAAAAGGGCCATCAATCTTTTCTTATAATTTGTGGCCATTTCTGTTTCTTCTTTTGTGAATGGCTGCTTGCCCATTTCCTTTGCCCACTTCTTGGTTTTCTCTTACTTATTGATTTGAACTCCTTTTATATGTATTGCCTCTTTATTAAACTCATTTCTCATAGCTTTTCATTGATTGTCTTGGATAGTCTAGGTTATATCATTAGCAAATAATACTAGTGTTATTGCTTCTTTTCCAAATAGTTTTCTAATAGGACTTTTTTCTTTAAGCTAAGGTTTTTTTTCCCTTTTGATTTTTTTCCTAAGACTGCACTGGACTCTTAATTTTGACTTTCATTGATTTTCTTAGAATAGATATATTTCTTGTGAGATAATATATTTAAATATATATATTTGATTTATATTGGTTTTTAAAATTTATATTTATATTTCTCTATATATTTGAATAGATAGACTCACATGAAGACTTTAACATGTATTGTACAAGGGCTCCACCAGTTCTGTCTGCTGAATGTGTTGCTGGTTTTTGTCCTTGTGTAATTGATATTTTTCTTTTCAGAGCCTAATATTTCCTAAACATACTCAATGACTTATTTCAAATAGTTATCTTTTCAAATTATTTTCTTAAGGAAAACTTGTTTTAATCATTTTCCACATTAAAAAAATTCTAATTATAATTACTATGTATACTGTGATCCAAGAAATTTCACAGAAGGTTAATGCAATTGTAGATCAATTTAAGTATGTGGATTTTTTTTCATGAATTCTGACCTTCTTTTTATTTAAAGGACAAATTGTTTATATTGTCATTGAATTTACTATAAATTATAAAATTGCTTATAACATTGTTTCTCAAACTATGGCAAAGGATTAATTTTTTTAAAAAAATTCAGTATGTTATGAGCCAATACTTCTGTAAAAGATAGATTACTGGAAAAACATATTAAGTAGACGTAAAACTATCAACTTGCTGTAAAAGTTTCTAAATCTTACTCTTAATTTCTGTACTTAATTTCTTAATCTTATTGGGGACATATACAAAATGTACATATTAGCACACTATGTGAACTGCACTATTAAGAATGCTGGTTTATACTGTGGATAGTTTAAAAGAGTCACAGGGATCTAAAAGGTCCACTATTCAATTCAGGATTTCACCATGTTGCCCAGGCTGGTCTCGAACTCCTGAACTCAATTGATCTGCCTGCCTTGGCCTCCCAAAGTGCTGGGATTACAGGCGTGAGCCACTGTGCCCGGAACCATAACTATTAAGTAATATTTAAGTAGTGGTTTTCAGCGTGGAGGAATTACAAGCTCCTATATTAGACAAGTGAAAGAAATAGGTATAAAAATTAGATAGGATGTAAAATTATTATTATTTGCATGACATATTTACATCCCTGGGAGACCTCAACCTATTAAAACTACTATAAACATTGAGGATATATGGTTAATTTGGCTGGGTTGAAAATTAAAATACAAAAATTACTACTTTTAAAAGGAGAGTCAAACCATTTACTGTGGCTAACTCCAGGAGTTCTTTCTCAAGTAGCCTAGTATGGTCTGCTGAAAACAGTGTTGACATGTCAATCAGTTAACATAACCAAGAATAGGAAAATACTTTTGCTAGGAGGGTTGTAATTCTGATATCAAAGCTTACAGTTGTTAAATGGGTTGGGTGAATCTGTCAGCTCTTCGATAGTATGAGAGAGGCATCAGGAAACTAGGATCTCTTTCGTGGAGTGTAGTCTTTAATGCTGCCAAAGATGCCAGTTCTAACTTGCCTCCCTCTGGGACGGTGAGAGTTTATGGGACTGCATACACCTGCTAGACTGGACCCAGTTATTTTCCCTAGGAAATCTTGTTTGACTTGTATATCATTCATGGTACCTCTTTACAGAATTCTTTGCTTGTGCTTTCTAATATACAAATAGCAACCTTTTAGGAGATAAAATGGAAAACCCTCCTCCCCTGTTAAAATAGTAACAAAAGAGATAGCATTTATAGGAGCAAACTTGAAAGAAATTGGCAACATATATATATATATATACACACATATATATACACATATATATGTATATGTGTATATATATATATATATACACACACACACACACACACATCTTTATCTGTCTATATCTGTCTACACACACACACACACACACACACACACACACACACACTCACTCATTCTTTCTTTTATCTTCTCTTTTCCTAGACAGCCCTTTTCACATTTAGGGTTAGAAATGTCACTTGATATCATGGGGAGTTTGCATTTCTCTTTGTGGCTCTGTTATGGTAGTTGTGGGAAGAATGAAGAACTGTCATCAAGCTGCCATTTTAAGTCTGAAAGTCTGAGGATCTTTTGAATGTTTTAATCAACAGAATGATATGACAACTGTACGACTACAATGGGGAGATATACTTATGCCATTGCTTAAAAAATACAAACTAAACATCACATGGGGTGATCAAGATCTATTGAATATCATGTTTTCTCATAATCCAGGTAATTATTTAAATTCCTTTTGTTTGCATTAAAGAATTACAGATAATACTTAGTGAAAAAGGAGAACATGCATTTATCTGATTCTGTCATATTAATGATTATAGCTATTTATTTTTAAGACAGTAAAATTTTTCTTGAATATTGGTTTAATTGGAAGAGATCTAAATGCCAAACATGTTTATTATTATTGTAATTCTTATCTATAAGAGCTGCATTTTTTAACTAAAAGTTTTGCAAAATGTTACATCTGTTGAATTAGGGGTATTTGCTTCATTGTTTGGTCTTTTCTTTATGTAGAAAGCCTTTTTGTTTTTCCGTGTCAATGGAATTATCGACCAGATCATTGTATATATGGAAGCAATTGCCAAGAAGCAGAAGAAGATGGAATTTTTATTCTTCATGGGAACAGAGGTGTTTACCATGATGATAAGCAACCAGCATTTAGAGCTGTTTATGAAGCACTGAGAAATGTAAGATTTGCCTTTTCTTTTTTTTTTAACTGTTTGTTTGAAAATACTTTCGAGCTTATGGTTAGTTTACAAGCATACTTAGAATTTTCATACACCCTTCACTCAGCCTAATCCGTTATTAACATTTTGCCTTATTTGCTTTGTCGTTGGTTCTCTCTCTCTACATTGCTTTTTTTTCTGAAAACAATATAGTTGTTTTTTCAGAAAACTCAACTGACATTTGATTTTAAGTTCCATACATCAAGTTCTTTTATCCTTAAAAAAGTCATTTTTTTCTTTAAATTAAGAATAAGGACATTCTCTTACACGATTTAGCATCTATCATTGGTTCTTGCTCAAAACAGTCTTCACTATGTTATTTGCAAATTGTTGATTGTTTAACACTAGCACTCCTTCCTTATACATCATTGACATTTGATGTGCTTCTATAAGGAAGAACCCTCCCTTTTGCACATATATTGATGTCTATATAATCACTGTGAACCCTTTGATACTTATTTTCCCCTCAATGATTTATAATTCATTATTTCTTTCTAATGTTAATGCTAAAGTTGTTCTAGATAGGGCCATCAGGAGCCCCATTGACTGCTACTTGTGCCCCTTTGACATGCCCTCATCATTTTTTTGAGTACCTTCTTTATTTTCTGTCCCAACAAAATATTCCAGGTTTGTCCTATACTGTCCCTGCCCTACCTTTGAAATTAGTCATCTGTCAAAGGAGCTCTGGTTCTCTTTAGTAGGCTCTGGGTGTTAGGCATGTTTATTGCTACCAGAGTCTCGTTGCTTCTGAGCCCTTTCAGTGGCAGAGCTAGGAAGTATAAGCATGCACACATGATGTTATGTGTTCACCCCTGATACTTCAATTCCAGGCCATTCTTCCAAGGCTCTTCTTTGCTTTCTTCTCTATATTATATCTCCTTACTTCCACAGTTAGAATCCTGACTTCTGTCATCAATACATTTTCTCATTTGCTTAATCCTACGATCATTTAAAATAATTTCAGAAATGTTCCATTTTTACCATTGTCTCCACCCCCAACCCAACCTACTAAAAATGGCTTAGGATTTGTTTTCAGTCCTTCCTCCTCCTCTCCCCTGCTCCCTGACAAGGGTGTGTACTCAATACTGTATTTAGAAGTTACTTGGATTAGTTCTTTTTTTCCTCTCTTTCAATGTGATTATTTTATTCATTTGAAATACATTTGGGTTCATTTTTTTCCATATGCTTTGTTTTAGTTTTTTTTCCACTATATTTGTTGATATAATTGCGTTTTTTTGATACATGGAATATTAATTAATATACTTCACAAAGTCACAATTACATAAAGGTTTACTCAGATGTAACCTGTTATCTTAGTCCTTTCATCCTAACTGCCCCTTACCCCTATAAGGTACCAATTTCATTGTTTTCTGGTTTATCCTCCCTATGTTTGTATAAGATGAGCAGACCATGGATATTTTGTGATTTCCATTTTCTTACATGAAAGGTAGCGTAGTGTATATCTTCATTTATTCTTTGCTTTTTATACTTAAAACATTCTGGAGATATTTCCTCTTAAAAAAAAACAGCTATATGGTACCCTATTTTATGTAAATGTGTAGCAGAGTTTTTTTAGTCATTCTTGATGTTTAGACATTTTGTTGGTTTCCAATAGTTTGAATTATAAATACTGCAGCAATGTACACTAGCTGTGTTATTCATATATTTGTATTGTTGGAAGGTGAATCTTCAGGGTAAATTCCTAGATTTGGGATTATTGGATTGAAAGTATTACCGTGTTCCTCCATAGGGATTGTTTGTATTCCTGCCAACGATTCATGAGATGGTCTGTTCCCCACATTCTCATCAACAGAGTATATTATCAAGCTTTTAAAATTTTGTCATTCTGATGGGTGAGAAGTGGAATCTTAGTGCAGTTTTTATTTGCATTTCTCTTATGAATAAATTATTATATATTTGTGAACTATTTCTATATCTTTGGCGGGGGTGAATTGCCTTCTAAATCTTTCACCTATTCTTCTATAGGTTTTTAAAAAATAACTAATGACTTTGGGAGGCAGAGGCAGGCAGATCATGAGGTCAAGAGATTGAGACCATCCTGGCCAACATGGTGAAACCCTGTCTCTACTAAAAGTACAAAAATGAGCTGGGTGTGGTGGCGCACGCCTGTAGTCCCAACTACTCAGGAAGCTGAGGTGGGAGAATTGCTTGAACCCAGGAGGTGGAGGTTTATGTGAGCCGAGATCGTGCCACTGCATTCTAGCCTGGCAGCAGAGTGAGACTCCATCTCAAAAAAAAAACAAAAAAACAAAAAAACCCAGAAAGACTAATGAAACATTATATACCACAAACTTCACCCATTTCAAATATATAATTCAGTGGCTTTTAGCATGTTTGCAGAATTGTACAACTATCATTACCATGAGAACGTTCGGTCTTTCTCACCCTCTCCTCCCTTTGTTAAAAGTTCTTTGTATGTTAGGAATATTAGGACTTTTCCTTTGATACATATTGTGAATATTTTCTACCAATTTGACTTTATGGTATTTGATGCCATTCAGTTTGTATAATTTTTTCATGTAATAAGTTTATCAACCTTTATTTATTTATTTTTTTGAGACAGCATCTCACTCTGTTGCCAAGACTGAAGTGCAGTGGCGTGATCTCAGCTCACTGCAGCCTCCGCCTCTCAGGTTCAAACAGTTCTCCTGCCTCAGACTCCCAAGTAGCTGGGATTACAGGCATGTGCAACCATGCCTGACTAATTTTTTTTTTTTGTATTTTTAGTAGAGACGAAGTTTCACCATGTTGGTCAAGCTGGTGTGGAACTCCTGACCTCGTGATCTGCCTGCCTCAGCCTCTCAAAGTGCTGGGATTACGGATGTGAGCCACTGTGTCTGGCTTTTTTTTTTTTTTAAGTGACTGGGTCTTTCTCTGTCGCCCAGGTTGGAGTGCAATGGCACAATCTTGGCTCATTGCAACCTCTGCCCCCCGGGACTCAAGCGATCCTCCCACCTCAGCCTCCCAAGTAGCTGGTACTATAGGTATGTGCAACTGCACCCAGCTAACTTTTATATATTTTTTGGAGATGGAGAGTTTGCTCTGTTGCTCAGGCTGGTCTTGAATTATGGTGCTCAAGCAATCTACCAGTATCAGCCTCCCCAAGTGCTGAGACTGCAGACATGAGCCATCAGGCCTGGCCTCACCATTTTTTTTTTTTTTTGAGGCAGAGTCATACTCTGTCACCCAGGCTGGAGGGCAGTAGTGCGATCACAGCTCAGTGCAGCCTCGACCTTCTGGATTCAGTTGATCCTCCCACCTCAGCCTCCCAAATAGCTGGGACTACAGGTGCATGCCACCATGCTTGGCTAATTTTTGTATTTCTTGTACAGATGAGGTTTTGCCATGTTGCTCAGTCTGGTCTTGAATTTCTGGGCTCAAGTGTCCTCCTATCTTTGCCTTCCAAAGTGCTAGGATTACAGGGGTAACCCACCACACCAGGCTTAACACTCTTATTTTTTTCTTTTTTTTAAAGTAATAATCAGAAAGCCTTTTCTAATCTACACTTGGGTTGCAGAACAGGTTATAGGAGAATTCACCCATTCAGGCCTTTGCTCTGTTTAGAATTTACTCTCTTATATTGGGTGAGGAGTAGATACTATTTGACTCTTTTCCAAATGACTATACTTTGCTTGTGGTAAAACCACAAAATGGTAAACCGCATTTACTTAAAAATTTATATTTGGCTGGGTGCGGTGGCTCACATCTGTAATCCTAGCACTTTGGAAGGCCAAGGTGGGTAAGCCTAGGAATTCAAGACCAGGTCAGGCAACTCCTCGAGCCCAGCAGTTGGAATTCAGCCTGGGCAACATAGTGAGACCTTGTCTCTAAAAGATAAATGAAAATAAAATAAAAGGCTATCTTTAGCCAAAAGATTTGAGATACTGACATTATCATAAATTCCATTTGTAATTTTGACTTTTCTGTTTAGTTCCATTTGTCTGTTCATTTGTACACTAATACCACACTATTTTAATTATAAAGGCTTTTTGCTATGTTTTAATATCTGATGGTTACTCCCTCTTTATACCCTGTTTTTTTTTCAGTGTTTTCATAGCTATTGTATATTTATTTTTCTATAAGTATCAACTTTTTAAACTCCATTAAAAAACTTAAAAACTTGTTGGTATTTTTAGGCCAGGCACAGTGGCTCATGCCTGTAATCCCAGCACCTTGGGAGGCTGAGTTGGGAGGATCACCTGAAGTCAGGAGTTCGAGACCAGCCTGGCCAATGTGGTGAAACCCTGTCTTTACTAAAAATACAGAAATGAACTGGGTTTCATGGTGTGTGCCTGTAATCCCAACTCCTCAGGAGGCTGAGGCAGGAGACTCTCTTGAACCTGGCAGGTGGAGGTTGCAGTGAGCCAAGATTGTGCCATTGCAGTACAGCCTGGGCGACAAGAGCAAAACTCTGTCTCAAAAAAAAAAAAAAAAAATCTTGTCGGTATTTTTATTGGGAGTCTGTTAGCTTCATATATTAACATAGGGACTGCTAACGTTTTGTTGGTGTTGAGACACACTAACCAAGAACAAGGGCTGTCTTTACATTTGTGTTTTAGGAATGTTTTATAGCAAGCCTGTCCAACTTGTGGCTGGTGGGCTGCATGTAGCCCAGGACAAGTTTGAATGTGGCCCAACACAAGTTTGTAAAGTTTCTTAAAACATTATGAATTTTTTTGTGATTTTTTTTTTTCTTAGCTCATTATCTTTAGTGTATTTTTGTGTGGCGTAAGACAGTTCTTCCAAAATGACCCAGGGAATCCAAAAGATTGGATACCCCTTTTTAAAATTTTTTTCCTATAGATTTTGAATATAACTTAAATCTATGCTTAAGTATTGTCTTCTTGTTGCTTTTGTAAATGAAGGTTTTGTCTTTTTTTTTTTTTGAGACGGAATTTCGCTCTTGTTACCCAGGCTGGAGTGCAATGGCACGATCTCGACTCACCGCAACCTCCGCCTCCTGGGTTCAGGCAATTCTCCTGCCTCAGCCTCCCTAGTAGCTGGGATTACAGGCACCTGCCACCATGCCCAGCTAATTTTTGTATTTTTAGTAGAAATGGTGTTTCACCTTGTTGACCAGGATGGTCTCTATCTCTTGACCTCGTGATCCACCCGCCTCGGCCTCCCAAAGTGCTGGGATTATAGGTGTGAGCCATTGCACCCGGCTCGAAGTTTTGTCTTTTAGGCATTCGCTTTATAATGCTTTTGGAAAAAATTTATACTGCTCCTCTCGTCCCCATCCCCCGATTGCCTGTTCTCTCTTTTCTTCTTGTTCTTACTTGTCCCGTTTTATGTACTTAAGGTGGATTGATGGGGGAGATGATTAATACTTCATTTACCTCTAGATGGATGTATGAACCAGATCTCTGTGAATGTTAAGGACCAAGACTTGGGGCAAATCCTAGGGAGGTTTGGATTTATGCTGTTACTTAGCAAGCCATATCACTTATCCATGTTAGAGAATTCACTGGTACTAAGGAAGAAGGATTAATACATGTGACCACTTAATTCTCTTGTAGATATACTGTCCTGCTAGACTGTTTAATACGGTATGGTTAGAAACAAAGCAAATAATAGGAGTGCTACTTTGGTTTAAATGTGGGGGTCAGGAGAAGAGCTGATGACCCCTGTTTACTAGATTTTTATTATTTGATAGTGACTGAAATCCTCTGGTCTAGCATAGCCTAATTGATAGCAGTGAGAATAAAAACACTTCACTATAATCCATGGTGACAGAGAGTGTACTGGGACTGTAAAAGAGTGTCTCAATTTTGCCTCGAAGGGCCAGGGAAGGCCTCCTTGAAGAGAAGCCTTTTGAAATGGGCCCTGAAGGATGAATAAGAGTTTGCCAGGTGGATGGGGACTGTCTGGGCTGAGAACTGCCTGAGAAAATGGTTCAGAGGCTGTGAAAAGATTCATGGAGAGGTCAGGCATCCGTCTTTTCAGTGTGTATGGAGTGATGGATGAAAGTCAGCAGGGGCCAAGATGAAGTGGATGTGGAGATGGTGTACAGTGTTAAGGTGATGATCTGCCATGAAAAGGAATTGAAGTTTTCTCCCAGAAAACTGTTTCTTAAACTTGGTGGTAGACAAAATTCTAACAGCATTGTAGGCTACAGTTCTAGCATATTATTAGCTAAGTTTCCTGTCCTATCAACTTGACAGATACAGCTTCTAAATAATCAGTTTATCATGGTATGACTATACTCACTGAAGAATTATAAAATTTAGTGTTGATGTTCATTTTAATGTAGCAGGCCTTGTATGCCTTCAGAAATTAATACTGTATTTTAATAATGCTTTATTATGGGCTGTCAGAAGGTGATAAAAATGAAGAAAAGTGCTTTTGGGGTTCTAAGACTGCAGGATAGAAAATAAATGCATTCCTTATAAAAATGCAATTCCTTTGTTTCCTTCAAGCATTAAAAAAAAACTTAGAGAATTAAATTTCCCTAGGTTTATTTGATCTTTTCTTTGGTGTATAAATGTGTACCTTTAAAAATCTGAGTAAGAGTTTTAAGTTGATTAATTACACTTGATTTTTTAAAAAGAAATCTTATTTTTAAAAGGATTTCAGATGATTAATTATCTTTTGTGTTTGTTTTGGGCCTGTGTTAACTACAGCTTACATCTATTCATTTTTCAACTTAATGAAGTTAATCAGTCTTTTATGGTGCTCCTGCGTAGTGTTTTTATCTTTCCTTATCTATAATTCAGTGAGAAGTGTAATTTTTAAAAGAATTGTATTCAGACAAGGATATTTATGCAAGTTTCAGACAGAAGCTTAGTCATAGCCATGAAATGCAGTGAGCAGTATGAATCATAAAGGATGTGAACCATCTTTAAAGTGTGAATTCATGGCTATGTCTACCAGCAAATCTGTTTTTATAGTCCATGCATATTTGTTAAATATTAGTTGTTGAGTGAATAAAAATATTGTAAAAATTGCAAATTCAAAATGGGACAAAACATTTTATGACTATATAAGGTATTTTTGGCATCATGCATTTTATTCTGAATTATTTCTTGATGTTTCTGTGTTAACTTTGATTTACTTTACACTTTTCTTATATTTGCATAAAGCAGTCTTGAATAGTACTGCCTTGCATATAGTTAACACTTAGGATTTGTTGGATTGAACTGCCATTCTGCTATATTTTCCAAGATATACTATTCTTTGAAATTACCTCTAATTGCCTAATTATGCTCATCACAGCCTCACTATTTCCTGTTGTTCAACTGACAGTATAAATCATGAACTTCCTAAAAATTAGTATACTGGGTCCTGTGCTGGTGAAAAGGGGGAATGATTAACTGTATATTGAAAGGCTTCTCAGAGGAGCTGACATTTGAACTAAGCTTTAAGGATGATGAGAACCAGGCAGAGAAGAAAAGGTAAAGACATGTCAGGCATAGTGTGTAGTATATAGTATGAAAAGAGGTCTGGAGTCAGGTAAGGCACGTGTGGCCTCCGGGAAAGAAACACCTAGATGTAGGTTACATACTGCACAAATATGCAGGCACTGCAGACTATGTAAATGGCAGAATGCATTGTTTTTAGGCTATATTTAATATAGATGGAAATTTTGGAAGGTTGCCTTCTCCCATAAATGTCAAATTGTGTTTGTCATATCACGGGCAGAAAGAGGTCTAGCTCATGAAACACTTCTTATTTCAGAAAATGGAAAAGAGCCTTTTTTTGTTTTTGTTTTTTCAGTGAAGAAGAAATTTTTTTTTGACCACAAACACTGGGATTTAAATCACATGAAAATAAACTGAATCTCAAGCACTACATACTCCTGGAAATCTCAGTAGTCTTCCTCTATTCTTAAATGCCTTCATGTTTTTTTCTTATTGTCATATAGTAAAAATAATGATCACAGTAGTTTGGACTTCCCATGATTTTCCTCCTCTCAACCAGTGTTCAAGTGTGTTTTTGTACACATTGAAATGTTTCTTGACAGTATCACTTGGCCGGGCGTGGTGGCTCATGCCTGTAATCCAAGCACTTTGGAGGCCAACGTGGGCGGATCACCTGAGGTCGGGAGTTCAAGACAGTATCACTTGATGAAGTTTACCTTCTTCAACCTGGCTACAGTTTTAACCGTGAACAGGTTTATCATTTAACCCTGAACAGATTTGTGTATCTATTTACAGTACAGCACTTTGCCCAGATTTCCACCATTCATTGAGCTTCATCCTTCAAGATTTTTGAACTGACTTGGCATGGTTTTGTTTGCTTAATGTTTGGATAAGTAGCGCTATCTGGTGGTTAATTAAGTGCATGAACTTTTGGAGCTAGGCTGCTGGGACAAAATCCTGGCCTAACCACTTACTGGATTTATAACTGTGAGAAAATCCTCTCTCCCTGCCTTAGTTGTTTTATTGTCAGATGGGGGTAATATTACCAATATTATAAACTTATTGTGAGGCTTAAATGTGTTAATACATATACAACTCTTAGAATGGTGCCTGGATGTAGCAAACACTCTATGTGCTATTGTTACTTTCATTGCATTGTTCCTGGCTAAGTTTCCCCTCCTCTTTTTAAAAATTTTATCTTCAAAACAATTTTAGACATTTATCTTGAGTATGTGTGATCGATTTTAAAAAATAACTCCAGAGGCGATGGTTTTATATAGTTAATGCTTATGTTTTTTCTTGCTCAAAACATACCAAAGTTTAGGATCTCTTTGCATCTCTACAGTGACAAAACCCATGTTGTAAACAAGCATCCAAGTTCATCCTCTTTTCCATAGATTAACTGCAGTTTCTTGCAGACTTACTAATTGTGCAGGGGGTGGTGCTTTCATTTCCTCTCCCTCAGTGTGCCTGTGAACCTCAGGGATAACCTGACAGACTTCCAGTTCTGAATTTCTTTTGTGATTTTGCATTTTTCACTAACTTCAACTTCCATATAAATTGTTCTATTTTTAAGCCTCATCCATCTTTCTAATTGAAAATACAACATCTAGTTGAAAATACTAAGTCACAGAATATCTGGTTGAAAAAACACAGATTACAGATTGTTTCCACTTTACTACCACAGCCCTTTCCAAAATATATTTCTTGATATTAATATGTTTTATAGTAAAAGAAGGACTCTGGCCAAAAATATATTTTGGGACAAACAGGTCAAACAACACTCAACAGATTTATTTTCTGTTTTACCTTTTAGACTTTTTTCCTGTGCCAGTCTGAATCCACACAAAGAGTGCCTAATATTTAACAGTTCTCAAATTTGTTTACTGTTGGGATCCTTCTCTGCAGTTAGGGTTCTGTGGGAAGTGCTGAACTATATAATCTTCTTTAATTCCTCCCACCGTATACCTCTACCTCATTTCCTTCCAGTCCAGTCTCAGCACTGTTATTGCCAGAGTGGTTTTTGAAAGGTGGGATGCAGGTGTCATGTGTGGTAAAGCTCTTCTTTTAGCCAGTTCAGCATCTGTTAGTTTCACCCAGATACCTGCAGGGCTTTTGGTTGTCTTCTTATCCGGTATCTCAGAGTCTTCTCTGCCCTTGTACATAGTTCTCCAGGATTCCTCCAGAGAGTTACCACGACTGTCTTTCTTTAATGGGAGACAATAATTATGTTTAATTTATTGAAAATATTTGTTAAACATCTAATTTGTATGAGACATTAAATGGACATTGTTCATATTAAACTGAAGAAGTTTGGAAAATAATTGAATTTATATATGTACCTTTGCCTTTTAAATTTGTTTATTTTTTTAAATTTTCTTTTCTCTAGTGTTCTTTTGAAGATGACAACATCCGTTCCTTGTTAAAACCTTTAGAACTGGAACTACAAAAAACAGTGCATACATACTGTGGAAAAATTTACAAAATATTTATCAAACAGCTGGCAAAAAGCGTGAGAGATCGTTATGCCAGATCACCAAAGGAAAAGTGATTCTTAGTGACTGCTAAATCAAAGGGATGAAAACAACAAAGAATCAGAGGATAAGTGTGAAGGAATCATCTTGGATGAAGTATTCAGGAAGGAATTATTCATCTCCAGAATAATTTTTTTTCCTAAAGAAGTTAAATAAGCAGTATTTTCAGGTAATGAAGAATAAGTTAATATCTTAGATTCCAACAAAGAAACATTTTTGATCTCTGATGTTCTGTAATGTTACTATCATTCCAGTATGGTTTTAGCCTGCAGACTTCTGTTGACTCATACTCTCAAGTAAGAGTGGTAGGATTGTGTAGATGGAGAAAATGTACCTCAGTGCACTCAGACTGTGAGTAGAGCAATAATTTTATGTCAGCACTAACCTCACTTTAAATGTGTGAGAAAAAAGTTTGTTTACAGGAGCAGAAACAGTTCTGTTTCTAAAGAAATGTGATGTAACTGATGTAACCATTGACAATCTATGTGTGCCTTTATACATTTCATCTCTGTTTTAAAATATTTTTATGACAATCATGTTTAAAATTATTTTTAGATTATAAGTAAGCTGCATGTTAAAAATTGAGCTGTGTAAGAAAGAGGGAAAATAGTGAAAACTTCGGAGTTTTAATCTGTGTGTGTATATGAGAGAGAGAGAAAGAAAAAGAGAGAGAGAGAGAGAGAGAGAGAGAGAGAGAGAGAGAGAGAGAGAGAGAGAGAAATGTAGTCTTTTGTTTGTATGCATTAAACTGTCTTGCCAAAACTCAAATTTAAGATTAAGTAGATATTTGCAGAAATTTTTCTTTATCATTTTAAATGAAAAATGTCAGCTTTACTGGGCATTCTGGAAGCAAAATATATTATGCTCATCATCAGGTGAGAACCTTAAGAGTATACTCATGATGGTGGAAAATGTGATGTACCAAAATGCATAAGCTGTATACTTCCCGTGAGTAGTAATTTCAGTTACAATGAAGTTGAAAAATGTGGTCCATTTAGTTTTCTTCTATCTCATAATGGCTTTGCAAGATACTTTTGAAGAAGCAAATGTCTAGAGCCTTACTTTAAGTACGTTAAACAACTTTGGTGGGTGATTTGGATTAAGATTGTTATATCCAGCTATAGAAAATGTGGTTTTAATTGAGTTAATGTGCATATTTTCCTTTTTTGAATATCACTTAAGACAGTTAATTTTTTTAAATCTTGAAGATGAGAAAAATACTGCTTTTTGGCATTCTTGACCAGTTATCTAATATAACTATAGATTCTGAATACTTATCATATACTGTGCTGGGGCACATATCTTATTTTACCAACAGCTTTATGGTTATCTCCTTTTTCTGTCTGATATTTTAATGCTCAAGTAGAAAATGGAAAATTATGAAGAAAAAATATGACCTGTGAAAATTGTGGCAGTTAGCTTTGTGAAGACACTGTGACCTCTATGGAGACATGGAATATGCAGAAAGAGATGGTTAGTACAGTTGTTCTATCTTCTGCAGTTCAGTCAGGGACAGATTGAGAGAGGAAAGTTTAAGCAAGATACATTAAATGTTGATAACCAGCCTAGCATTCTTAGAACAGATGGATTTAGAGAACACAAGTTGTAGTTCCTTGGCAGAATCCCATGGTGGATATAAGAAACTGTGAACTGTGTTGAAATTGAGCTTACTAAATAGAAAATGAGAATACCAAAAACTTGAAGTTTGGAAGAGTATGTATTAGATCATTTCTAATGGTCCCCAAATAGGATCACTGCCTGTCTGACTATATAAGACTTGTGTTGGGAGCTTAAGAATAGATGCCTAAGCTTAGGCCCTTGGAGACTCTGGCATGCTGTGTCTAGGATGGAGTCTGCAAAAAAAATTTTAGTGAAGAGATTTAAAAATTATACAAAACCAGTGCATTGGTATTCAACTTCCAGATATGACACCTAACCCTAACAACCCCATGCTTGCTTCATCTGTCACTTTTTTCTTTGCTTAAGTATCGTAAAGAAAATCCCAGACATCATGTTATTTCACTGCTATGAACACTTTGGGTAGGTACCATGAATCACACAGTCCTTTGGCTTCATCTCATAGCCAGTCCTCAATCAGAGTTCCCTGATTATCTCAAATATGCCGTCTTCTAGTTGGTTTGTTAGAATCAGGGCAGAGAATATAAGTCACATGATGATTTTGTTTTTAACAATTACCTCAGATGACTTAGATGTTAGCTACTTTGGGAACCACTGGAAATTATTTTGCCAACTTGAAAGTTGAAGTTAGGGTGCCACAATTCTTGGCACAGTTGGTGGATTATAAATGCAATTTTGAAATATTATATTAGAGGAAGCATTTGGGGTTATTGACAAGATATGAATGTATATTAGTAAGTTCTTTAAGATTTAATTTCCTCAGTGAATGGGGAATCTCAGCCTCATGGGCTCTAATTGATTGGGACTGTGTAGAGCATGGTCGTAGTTTAATCTACCTGGACCATATGCTGTTGTCTCACTTGTGTTGTGGCTTATTTACACTGAGACACACACTACATTGTGGATCAGTTGGAAGGTTCTTCAGCTGGTTTATTTAGACCTGACCTAATTGATGATTTTACCATAAATTGAACTATAGTAAAAGTTTTCTCTTAGGTACTGTTTCTACCTAAAATTAAAGATATCAAAAAATATCTATAATAATTTTTAAATGAATTTTCTGAATTTCTCTTTAGACAAGGTAACTCTTCTTTTGAATTCTAAAGAAATGAAGTTCTTGGAGTTGATGAGAGATTAACTTATAGATGGAAAACTTAGAGAATATATTCTATTTTCATATAAATGGTCTTTCATAAAACATAGTGTACCTGTGCAGTTTATATAAATTACATGATTTATTATTTGAGTCTATGTATTAATTCTGACCTCAGAACTATCTCTGGGCTACAGGATTACCAAAGTGGGATGCCTTTAAAGTGCAGTCAAACTTCATTTTTATGAAGTAGAAAAGAACTTGGGAAACCTTTAAGAATATATATTGTGATTTACACTTTGAGAAAATGTATACTTTTCTTATGAAGAGTAGTTCATAATAGATAAGGGTTATAAAGCCCTGAAATATTAGTGCTTCCTCATTGCTCTCTTATCTTGCTTCCAGTCAGACATTATTGGTATAGTGAAAAGAAGACCAGCTTGTGAACTAGATCTGGATTCTCTTCTTAGTTAGTAACTCAGGCATGTTATTTAACCTTCTCTGTGCCTTAGGGTTTTTAAGTACAATCAGCATATACCCTTCGAACCCCAAAAGATGAGACTCAGAAGAGATAAGGGATTTGGAAGCATTCTGCATGGCTTACATTATGCCACACCAATGTTACTTTTGAAGTTCTGTTTTGCTCTGTTGTTTTCTGTACAGAGCATTCAGTTTACTCAGGCTGAATATTTTCTGACATATATCTCTCCAGTATGAATTTGTTTATTTTATGTAAGGAAGAGTTTTTTGGGAAGAGAAAGTAGAGAAGAAAAGAATGATGTAACTAAATCAAAAGAGAAGGAAAAGAGAGGAAGTGAGAAAAGGGGAGAGGAAAGAGAAAGAAATAAGAATGGGAATGGCAAAGGGCAGAGTAAGAGAAAAGATGGAATGATTGTGTGGAAAATTGAGAAGTAGAGAGAAATGGTGTGGAAACATTTACTTTTTGAGTTGTAGCCCTTATGCTCCATCACTGTAGGCTCTCTGGGGTCGGGAAAGGTGCTGACTTTCATGGAATGGGGCAGCAGGGCCTGCTGTATTTGGTTTGTTGGTACTAGAGTTGTTTCCCAGTCACCTACTCACTGATCATTTAGTGCCAATTCAACGGTCTATTTATTTATTTTTTTACTGGATCCAAGTTTGTGAGATAGGTCCTGTGGAAACACAAGTGTCTTCCTTTTTAACTTTATCCTTTTAGCCATCCCAGGTGTTAGACTGCAAGACTAACCACATATTCCCCAGCAGAGGTTGGAAGTGGAGGGGACTGCTCCCAGTAGTGTATTGTAGCAGTTTTCCCAGATGATACTGATGAGAGGCCAGGTTTGGGCGTAGGATGGCAAATGAAACAACAGATGACACCTGTTTATTCCTCAGTCGGAATACTTTCAGTTGAACCATTCTGGGTAGATTTAAGAGAACAAAAGACAGCAGAAATACCTGCAAAGATATTATTCATTGTCTTATTTTTCAGATGTTTGTATTTAAGTAATACCTTAGTAATAATCAGAACTTCTTTGAGATGTTTTTAGAAAGACCACTGATTTGTTTTTTAAAATAAATTTTCTGGTTCCTTAGAGTAGAGAAGAAAAGTAGGGGTGCAATATGTCAGGTGTGGGGCCAATTCCCATTTGTTAAATGCAATTTCAGATGTCTTAAAATAATAATTGCCTTATTGCATTTTAATATTTAATAAAAGTAGATTAAATAATGATTTGTATTATAACAGTTATTCTTTTATACATTGCCAAAGCAACCCTGTTTTGCCTATTAAAGTCTGGCTAAACTGTTCTGTTGTTGTTTCTTAATTCATTAAACATGAAACTAGGTTTTAAAAGCTAAATTATATAAACTTAGAAGTCTAAAAATCATACAAGAAAATTCTTTTTTAAAAAAACTAAAATGATGTTATTCAAGTATCTAGCAATTAAAGAACCATGAGAAAAACAGAATAGCATATTAGATGTAACAGTTTAAAATTGATTGCAAATCAATGTCAAATGTTTAAATAGAAAATATTTATTATCACCTCATTTCTACCAATAATTTCAAGTGTTTAATGGTACTATTTTATTAGACTTCACTGTAAACTCAGTTTTCCAACAAAAGCCTTTGAAAAGGCAAGAAAAAGTAGAAATGAAAATTTCTCTCACCGTGAATACTGTGAATACCATTTGGAGGGTCCCTGGTCAAACCTTTAAATATCAAACTGAAGAACTGATGTGGAGCCTTTGATTATGTTTAGTTTATATACAGGATCTCAATATTCATACACATAGCACACTATAGCAACCTCTTGTAAAAAATTTTGAAGATAATGCAAGTGTATATACTGTTAAAAAGTAAATTGGCTGGGTTTGGTGGCTCATGCATGTAATCCCAGCACTTTGGGAGGCTGAGGCAGGAGGATCGCTTTAGCCCAGAAGTTTGAGACCAGTCTAGGTGACAAAGTGAGACCCTGTCTCTACAAAAAAATTAAAAAAATAGCCAGGTGTGGTGGTGTGTGCCTGTGGTCCTACCTACACAGGAAGTTGAAGCAGGAGGATCGCTTGAGCCCAAGAGTTTGAGGCTGCATTGAGCCAAGATTGCACCATTGCACTCCAGCCTGGGTGACAGAGTGAGACCCTGTCTCATAAAGGAATTTGACTTTGTAAAAAAATGCCATCTTCAACCTTTGTATCAAATCTCTTTAGGGAATGTTAGAATATTATTTTTGTCAGGCAAAAATAATCCAGGGCTTGAGCATTGCTGTACAATATGTTATCAGTTCAAAACTTAGCAGAGCATGCATTTATCACATGCATGGTCATCAATATTTGAGAGCTGGACCAGTGGTTTTTGATGGATGCTATAACAGAAGATCTATGATGGATACGGTGGTTTGCACCTGTTCCTGAAGTCAGAAACTGGAAAAGTTTGCAGGTATTTTAATTTTCTCAATCCTTTTGCATAAATATATTAATATTTTGAGTAATAATAGTTCTAAAACTGCAGGAAGGCATCATGGTATACTGTGATATATAGAGAATACTACTTATACACTGCTCTTTATCTTAAAAGTTTTGGTGTAATGTGAATATTTTCCTCAAAGTATTTTGTGTATTTTGACAGTTACTACAGGAGAATATAAAATTATAGATTCTGATCTAAACTAAGAATAATGGAAAGTTGCTTTGTTTGCCTTAGAGGAGTTTTCAGTTCATCCTCTTCCTGAGAAACTATGTGTTACTGTTACTAAATAAACATGTACTCAATAAATTATTTCCTCAAATGATGTGTCTGGATTATTTTAGCAATCAACAATAGTTGTAGAATATTTGTCATTGAGGTGCTTGAGCAGCAGGAGTCTAGATGGAGGGCAGTTTCTGGATTGACTAATTCAGCAGCTGAAGTGTCATCAAGAACCTGGGTACCTTCTGCATTTCCATTGTCATTCTCACCAAGTGAGTCTGATGTTTCCCCTTAAAGTTCCAAAGTGACTGCAAAGGTTCTGGGTGGTGGATGACTTGGGGCTGAAATGTATCTTTTTTTTTTCTTTTTTATAACAGGAAGATTTCACCTGGCCCCATTCACTTGCCCTCATGGCCATAGCAATGTGTATTATCTTTAAAACAACCACTTTTCAAAGGGAATAAAGCTCCTACAGTTGGCTCAGACCGTGAAGATTTGCCCTTGAAATTAAAAATGACCTCCCCTTGATGAATGGCTGCTCAGAAAAAGAGGAACAACTTCCAGGTTCTGAATGAAGTTGGTGGGGCAGGTGTGTGTAGGGAGTTTGGAAGATAGCTGTTAGGTGGGCAACAGACCATATGTTGTTTTACTGACCCACGTGTTTCCTATAATTTTCAGGCAGATCAAATTTCAGATCTAGAGAAGAGCACCCTTTTCTGTGGCAGGAACTAGTTTTGCTTTTAAAAGTCTGTGTAAGGCCAGGCAAGGTGGTTCATACCTGTAATCACAGGACTTTGAGAGGTTTGAGGTGGGAAGATCGTTTGAGCCTTGGAGTTCAAAACCAGCCTGGGCATCCCCACTGTGCAAAAATATAAAAATTAGCCTGGTGTGGTGGTACACACTTGTATTCCCAGCTCCTTGGGAGGTTGAGGGAGGAGAATCGCTTGAACCCAAGAGGTGGAGGTTGCAGAGAGCTGAGATCATGCCACGGCACTCCAGCTTGGACTACAAAGCCAGACCCTGTCTTTAAAAAAAAAAGCTAATTTAGATGAGAATTGTGGACTGAAGGAAATTTAAAAATAAGTTTCTGTAATGTTACAATAACAGTGTTTTCAGTTTTGTATATTTTAATTTTTATACAATTTTTTTTTTTCTCAGATGGAGTTTTGCTCTTGTTGCCTAGGCTGGAGTGCAATGACGTGATCTTGGCTCACTGTGACCTTCACCTCCTGGGTTCAGAAAATTCTCCCGCCTCAGCCTCCTGAGTAGCTGGGATTACAGGCATGCACCACCATGCCCAGCTAATTTTTTGTATTTTTAGTAGAGATGGGGTTTCACCATGTTGAACAGGATGGTCTCGATCTCTTGACCTCGTGATCCACCTGCCTCGGCTTCCCAAAGTGCTGGGATTACAGGTCTGAGCCACAGCGCCGGGCCTATACAATTTTTTGTAACAATTATAAAAAGGGCTTTAGGCCGGGCGCGGTGGCTCACGCCTGTAATCCCAGCACTTTGGGAGGCCGAGGCGGGTGGATCACGAGGTCAAGAGATCGAGACCATCCTGGTCAACATGATAAAACCCCATCTCTACTAAAAATACAAAAAATTATCTGGGCATGGTGGTGCATGCCTGTAATCCCAGCTATTCAGGAGGCTGAGATGGGAGAATTGCCTGAACCCAGGAGGCGGAGGTTGCAGTGAGCAGAGACCGCGCCATTGCACTCCAGCCTGGGTAACGAGTGAAACTCTTGTTTCAAAAAAAAAAAGGGGGGCTTTAAAAGATTGTGGAGGGGGTTATGGATTCTGGGGGGAGAGTTTACAAGTTCCTTGAGATGAAAGATGTATTTATTGGCAATCTTTGTCAGGTTTTTAATTAAAAATTTTTTATAAATTATAAATTCTCCTAATTGAAGCAAAAAATACAGAAGAGTTAAAAGTATATCATGTTTAATATGAAAGAGCTTCCTCTCCACCTACAACCAAAAAACATTTGGTATCTTTCTTCCCAGTCTTGTGCTATGCATATGTGTACATACAGGAATGCACAAATGTGGCTGTAAAATGGTTTCTGCTTTATGCACTGTTCTACAACTTGCCTTTTTTTTTTACATCATCTATGACACCTTAATACATTAGATCCACCTCATTCATCTTCATAGCTGTGATTATTATGTAGTAGTGTCCTTAAATAGAGATTAGTACACAGATTTCTGGAGTACAAAATTGTAAGTAAATTAGTTTTAACTTGATAGGGGAAGTAGAAACAAACCGCTTTCTCAGTTTTTGCTTAAATGTGATTTAATTTAAGGAACGTTATTTTAGGAATAAAACTCTAGTATAAGCATCAAAATAAATGTTTTTTAAATTAAAATAAATTTTCTACAGTTTGATACATACTGATATATTAGGTTGGTGTGAAAGTTATTGTGTTTTTTGCCATTTTAACATTTAATGGCAAAAACCGCAGTTACTTTTTTTTTTTGTATTTTTAGTTGAGACGGGGTTTCACCATGTTGACCAGGATGGTCTCGATCTCTTGACCTCGTGATCTACCCGCCTCGGCCTCCCAAAGTGCTGGAATTACAGGCGTGAGTCACCACGCCGGGCCAAACCGCAGTTACTTTTGCACCAACCTAGCAGGTAGCAATACCTGATTTTGTGAAACTGGTGTGTCAGATAAATGTTACTTCAAGGTTCTTTTCCATATATATAGTTTTAATATTTTGAACAGTTAAGTTTAAAAATTATTTGTGGCCTGGATGTGGTGGCTCATGCCTATAATCCCAAGCACTTTAGGAGGGCGAGGCAGGAAAATTGCTTGAGGCTAGGAGTTTGAGACTAGCCTGGGCATCAAGGGGAGACCCCCCATCTCTATAAAAGATTGTTTTAAATGAGCTGGGTGTGGTGGTTTACACCTATAATCCCAGCTACTCCGGAGGCTGGGGCTGGAGGATTGCTTAAGCCAAGAAGTTTGAGGCTGCAGTAAGCTGTGATCATGCCACTGCGCTCCAGCCTGGGCAACAGAGTGAGATCCTGTCTCCTGATAGATAGATAGATAGATAGATAGATAGATAGATAGATAGCTATAGAATTAACAAAAATTGACCACAAAATGTGCCTGTGCTTTGACCACTGTTCTTTAACATTTAAATTATTTCATGAGAACCACAACTGGTTAAAAGAAATTTTTAATATGTAAAAAAAGTGTATTCAAAATTAATTTCACTAACATGTTTCATTTAACCCAGTATATCCAAAATATTATCTGGACATGCCAGTATAAAGTTAGGTATTTCGTATTTTTCCCCATGTCAGTCACATATTTTTCACATGCAGTACACTTCTCAATTTGAACTTGCCACAGTTCAAGTGTTCAGTGGCCACTTTTAGCTGGTGGCTATCATACTGGACTGTGCCTCTCTGAAAGCAGACATCATTTCTGTTCTTACTGTAGTATCTATCACCTAGTACCCTGGTCACAGTAATGTACATAGTAGACACTAAAGTTTGAATTTTAATTGAGAAGTGTTAGGATTTTTTTTATGAGTTTGGAAGAGTTTGAACTCTGACCATTTAAAAAAATAAAGGCATTAAGTAAAATGCTTCAAAAGATGCCCATCCTCATTGGTAGCAAAATAAACCAGAAGAGTTTAGTTTTTTAAAAATTGTAATGAATGGAGCTTTTATTGTTTAATATGAGGAAGCTCAATACTGAAAAGTTATGGCAAATCTATGCAGGAACTACAGATGGAAATGTAAGGTGGTATGATTTATATTTAAATCTTAATGTAAGATTTAATTCACTTTTTGGAATCATTGATGATTCATGCACATACATTAATCTCAAATCTGTAATAAAAATGGGAACAACCTAAATGTCCAGAGGTAGGGAAATGGTCAGGTAAATGATAGTACATTATTCTAGGTCAGTGGTTCTCACTCAGAGGCAGTTTTGGCCCCCAGGGGACATAAGACAATATGGAGAAATGATTGTCACAAACACAACTATACAAGTGGAGCAAGGAAGAGGGTGAGTACTAATGGTATCTAGTTGGTAGAGGCCAGGAATGCTGCTAAACGTTTCATAAGATGGACAGTCCCTTACAACCCAGAGAAGTCAAGCTGCTCTTGAGGCATAAATAATGCTTCCCAGAGGAAATCACATCTGTACTGAAATCTAAAGTAAAAGCAAGGGACAGGCAAGAAAGGTGAGGAAAAATTTTATTTTTTATTATACTTTTAAGTTCTGGGATACATGTACAGAATGTGCAGGTTTGTTACGTAGGTATACATGTGCCATGGTGGTTTGCCGCACCCATCAACTCGTCATCTACATTAGGCATTTCTCCGAATGCTGTCCCTTCCCTAGGCCCCCACCCCCGACAGGCCCCGAAGTATGATGTTCCCCTCCCTGTGTCCATGTGTTCAACCATTGTGGAAGGCAGTGTGGCGATTCCTTAAGGATCTTGAACCAGAGATACCATTTGACCCAGCATCCCATTACTGGATATATACCCAAATGATTATAAATCATTCTACTGTAAAGACACATGCACATGTATGCTTATTGCAGCACTATTCACAATAGCAAAGACTTGGAACCAACCCAAAGGCCCGTCATAGCAAAGACTTGGAACTAACCCAAAGGCCCATCAGTGATAGACTAGATAAAGAAAATGTGGCACATATACACCATGGAATACTATGCAGCCATAAAAAAGGATGAGTTCATGTCCTTTGCAGGGACTTGGATGAATCTGGAAACCATCATTCTCAGCAAACTGACACAAGAACAGAAAACCAAACACCCCATGTCCTCACTCATAGGTGGGTGTTGAACAATGAGAACACATGGGCACAGGGAGGGGAACGTCATATGCTGGAGTCTGTTTGGGGATGAGGAGTAGGGGAGGGACAGCAGAGGGTGGGGAGATTGGGGAGGGATAACATTGAGAGAAATGCCTGATACAGGTGACAGGGGGATGGAGACAGCAAAACACCATGGCATGTGTGTATGTATGCAACAATCCTGCAAGATCTGCACATGTTCCCCAGAACTTAAAGTGCAATTAAAAAAATGAGATATGTAGGGACAGGAAA